AGGAGATAGAGCTCTATGTTGATAAACATACATGAAGAGTTTTTTTCATGCAATAAGAGCCATTTATGGCCCATGTTCCCATGGCCCCACACCATGCCGAGCCCAAGACGGGTCAATGTATTTTAAGGACAGCAAAGCCAACAAAGCCAGATGAAAGGAGCATTTTGAGCTACTCCTGAACCGTGAGTCAACGGTGTCTGATGCCACTATCAAATCTATTCCTCAACGACATGAAAGAGAATCTCTTGCTGACCCGCCCCCCCGCCTCGAAGAAGAAGTAACATGAGCCATATGTAAACTAACAACAACAAGGCAGCAGGGCCAGATGGCATACCAGCTGAAGTCTACAAGGTTGGAGGTGAAGAACTGGTAGGGAAGCTCCACAAACTTTTTTTTTTTCATATCTGGTATAATTAGAAGATTCCAGAAGACTTGAGAAACGCCAACACGCCTTACAATCTTTAAGAAAGGAGATAAGTCAGAGTGTGGAAACTATTGAGGCATTGCCTTGCTATCTACGGCAGGGAAAATTCTTGCCTGTACCCTCTTAAACCAATTACTTCCCCTTGCGGAGGAAATATTGCTGGAATCTCAGTGCAGTTTTAGACCATCCCATGGGACAACCGACATGATCTTCATTGACCATCAAATCCAGGAAAAATCTCGGGAGCAAAATCAGGACCTGTACATGGCTTTCATCGATTTGACAAAGACCTTTGACTCTGTCAATCACGAAGCCCTGTGGAAGGTGCTGGCCAGATTTGGCTGCCCTCCAAAATTTATTAAGGTCCTAAGGCTTCTCCATGATCAGATGACTGCCACAGTTCTCTGTAATGGCCTTGAGACGGAACCTTTCATCATCAAAACTGAGGTTAAGCAAGGATGTGTTGTTGCCCTAACCCTGTTTTCCATCTATTTGGCAGTCATTTTGATCCTTGTTAAAGATCACCTCCCCCAATGGAGTTGACATTCAATACATAATGGATGGGCGGCTCTTTAATCTTTGACGTCTCTGCTCAAAGTCTAAAGTCTTCAGGGTGTCCATTACTGATCTGCAGTATACTGACGATTGTGTCATCCTCGCGCACACTGAGAATGACCTTCAGCCCATACTGGATTTTCTTGCACAAGCTTACCAGAGCCTAGGACTCTCACTCAATATTGAGAAGACTAAAGTGTTCTATCAACCTGCCTCAGGCCTTGCACATGACCCACCACAAATCACCATCGAGGGACAGACTTTGGAGACAGTTGAGCACTTTTGCTTCCTCGGTAGCCAACTTTCTCAAAATGCAAAAATCGACAGTGAGATCCAGCACAGAATCCAGTGCTCAAGTGCTTCCTTTGGGAAATTGCTCCGATGCGTTTTCACGGACCATGACCTATGACAAGACACCAGGTCTAAAAGACAATTGTTCGTACACTCCTCTATGGATATGAAACCTGGGTGACCTATCGACAGCACCTAAAGAGTCTGGCGAGGTATCACCAACGATGCCTCCGGAAGATCCTTTGCGTCAAATGGCAAGATCGCTGCACTAATGCCAGCATCCTCGCTGAAGCCAAGGTCACCAGCATTGAAGCAATGATCCTCCTGCACCAACTTTGCTGGGCCGGACATTGTGTGCGGAGCCAGACTCTCACCTCCCAAAACAAGTCCTCTACTCTCAGCTCACCCATGGTGGTCAGAGATCCCATGGTGGTCATAGGAAATTCTACGAAGACACACTGAAAGCGCATCTTAAGAAAACTGATGTGGATATTACAAGCTGGGAAGAGTAAGCCACCAACCGCCCCCAGTGGCACCCTATCCTCCATCAGACAGTGGCCCGCTTCGAGGAGAAGCGCCTTGCCCTTGAAGCTGAAAAGAGGGAGAGGAGGAAGGAAAAAGAAATAACTTTCTCCCAGCAGGCAGCTGACCCGCCAGGAAACGTCTGTACCAACTACAGGCGGATTTGCGGTTCCAGGATCGGACTCCTGAGTCACCTCAGGACTCATGTGTAAATCCGTGGTAGAGATCATCCTTGAATTGAGGGATCGCCAATCAATCAATCAATCGCCACTGATATTGTACAGTGTCCTTTTTAAATCAGAATGTTGTGCAATATTAAGTCAAACATACATCTAGGCAGTTATCTTTATCAGCCAAACTTGTAATCTCATCAAAGAATTAAATCAGGTTTGTTTGGCAAGACCATTCTCCATAAGCAGTGATGACTAGTATTAATTATTTTCCAATCCTTTAATTTGTTATTAATTGAATCCCACACCAGCTTCTCCATTACGTTATCTGGGACCGATGTCAAGCTAACTAGCCTACAATTATCCCTGTCATCCCCTTTGCACTTTTTGAATACTAGCACATTAGCATTCTTCCACCATTCTGAAATTTCTCTGTTATTCCAGGATTTACTAATAATTAACAGCACCAGGCCAGCGATCTCCTCAGCTGATTCTTTTAGAAGAATAGAAGATGAGGGTTGGAAGGGACCTCAGGAGGTCATCTAGTCCAACCCCCTGCTCAAAGCAGGACCAACACCAACTAAATCATCCCAGCCAGGGCTTTGTCAAGCCTGACCTTAATACCTCTAAGGAAGGAGATTCCACCACCTCCCTAGGTAACGCATTCCAGTGCTTCACCACCCTCCTAGTGAAATAGTGTTTCCTAATATCCAACCTAGACCTCCCCCACTGCAACTTGAGACCATTGCTCCTTGTTCTGTCATCTGCCACCACTGAGAACAGCTGAGCTCCATCCTCTTTGGAACCCCCCTTCAGGTAGTTGAAGGCTGCTATCAAATACCCCCTCACTCTTCTCTTCTGCAGACTAAACAAGCCCAGTTCCCTCAGCCTCTCCTTGTAAGTTATGTGCCTAGCCCCCGATCATTTTCATTGCCCTCCACTGGACTCTCTCCAATTTGTCCACATCCTTTCTGTAGTGGGGGGGCCCAAAACTGGACGCAATACTCCAGATGTGGCCTCACCAGTGCCGAATAGAGGAGAATAATCATTTCCCTTGATCTGCTGGCAATGCTCCTACTAATGCAGCCCAATATGCAGTTAGCCTTCTTGGTAACAAGGGCACACTGCTGACTCATACCCAGCTTCTCATCCACTGTAACCCTCAGGTCCTTTTCTGCAGAACTGCTGCTTAGCCAGTGGGTCCCCAGCCTGTAGCAGTGAATGGGATTCTTCTGTCCTAAGTGCCGGACTCTGCACTTGTCCTTGTTGAACCTCATCAGATTTCTTTTGGCCCAATCCTCCAATTTGTCTAGGTCACTCTGGACCCTACCCCTACCCTCCAGCATATCTACCTCTCCCCCCAGCTTAGTGTCATCTGCGAACTTGCTGAGGGTGCAATCCATCCCATCATCCAGATCATTAATGAAGATGTTGAACAAAACTGGCCCCAGGACCGACCCACTTGATACCGGCTGCCAGCTAGACATCGAACCGTTGATCACTACCCGTTGAGCCTGACAATCTAGCCAGCTTTCTATCCACCTTATAGTCCATTCATCCAATCCATACTTTTTTAACTTGCTGGCAAGAATACTGTGGGAGACCATATCAAAAGCTTTGCTAAAGTCTTAGGTCTCCCTGGTTCAAGTTATCCAGGCCAGCTGATTTAAAAATGTTTATCCCCAGTAGATGTTGTTTAACATCCTCCCCTTGGTTACTAATGGACCAGAAAGTACTTCATCGTCTCCATATGCTACGAGTACATTATCCCGCTTCTTTCCAAATACAGAACACAAATACTTCTGCTTTCTCTGCATCATTATTAGCAATTTTACATCTCCAGCTAGCAATGGGCCTATACCATTGCTAGGATTTCTTTCATTCCTGATATCCTTAAAAATACCTGAATCAATGTTCTGCACTTCATAACTCCTAATTTACATTGCTTGGTATCCACTTCCCCTTCTTTTCATTGGCTATCGATTGCTTTTTTTATTCCTAGTAGTTCCTCACAGTCTCTTCTAGTCTTGATTAACCTAAATAATTGTGTGTCCTCTTTTATTTTTCCACCTCCCTGCTCACCCCTTTTCCTACGTCCCCATGCTCAGGGACACCTCCAGTTTCAACAGGTTCCTCTGAAGCCAGTTCCAATGACACCTCCTGACCCATTTCTTCCCCACCAAAATTCTTGAATTAAGGAGTCTGCAGAAAGGGTTAGGATGGGAGCTGGCTCCTCCCTTGCTCTAGAGTCTCCTTGTGAGAAGGAAGAATGTATCTGTACTGTCTCCACTGTGAGGTCCACACAGCCAGCAAAAGGCCATCCTGACCCTTTCTCAGCCAGCCCAAGTGCCTGGGGAAGTGTCATTCCACTGGCTATTGGCCAGCTTCTCATACCACAACTCACACAGCACTGCAAGGTTCATACCAAATTCCACCGGTGAGGCTCAGGGCCTTTACCCAGCCTGCTTATCTAGGCTCTGAAACTGGCCTGAGCGTATGGCTTTAAGCAGAGATGGGCAAAACAATTTGGAAAATGCACCACACTGAAGTGTCATCGGAAAGTGAATCCAATGCTTGACAAGGTTCTGAAACGTTCAATGAAGGATCTCCACTCAATATTCCTCCCTCCCAGAAGGGGGTTGAGATGGGCAGGGCCAAACATTTGCCTGACTCTTAGTCCCCACTCCACTCCCCACCATCCAAGCTGGGAGCAGCTCTTCCTGGGGAAGGTCCAGGGACATGCTGTCCCCACTCAGGGCATGGCCTGGCAAGTTGACTGTAGCAGAGAGGCTTTTGGGGCCTGAAGGATACCCCCAAAAGCCACCAAGTCCCCCGTAAGATGACAGCAGGAAGAGGCAAGAAGGGGCTATTGGAGGGAGGTTCCCAGGGCTTGGAAAGTGGCTCCTTCCCACCTTAAAGTTTGGATAACAGGGATTGGCATCCAAATACTCCTGGCAGGTAAGCGCATGTGTCTGGCTGGGCCCCGCCTGGGCTCTGAACTGGGCCTCCCCAGCGGGGTTCTGACCGGCACTTCTTACCCACGAGGACCACGGATGCCTCAGCATCTTCAGGAATCTTCTCCATCAATTTCAGATATTTGCCGCGGTGCCCCTCGGAACTGTGGAGATGCAGATTTTTCTATCCCAGTCAGAAAGAAACATGCACAGGTGAGGACTGGACTCCCAGGCCCGACTCCTCCTCT